CTGAGGCAGGATTTGCCTGGATCTCCTGACTCCAGTACAGTACTCCATCTACTCTGCCATGCTAGCTGAAGTAAGGGAGCTAAGCTAGGAGGTCCCTAAGGTCCCTTCAACTCTGTGATCCTATGATTCTGTCAGCCTTACAAAGAGTGGATTGGAAAATAATGAAGATTGAGGTAGGAAGATCTGTTATGGGGCAATTGTAGTGGTCCAGGTGGGCTGCTCAGATATACCACCTCCTTTATTTTTTGCCTTTTTTTCCTCACCTTTTCTCTCTTTCTGCCCCTTCTCTCCCTATATCAAACCTGTTTCTATGAATCTTAAGCTAATTTTGCTATATTTCATTGGCAGAGTGGAGAGTGGGCTACTGGGTGTGTTTCTCCATCACTCTCTACTATAAATCTCCCCTATCCCAGTTTGTTGCAGTGTTGAAAATACTTGTCTTTGAAATCTATTCCTCTGAATCCTCTTTTCAAATGCAAGTACAGAAAAAAATAGCATGTTGTAGTAGGAAGAACACTGGATTATAGATAGTCAAGAGACCTGAGTTTGAATACAGCTCTGCTACTTACTAGCTCTGTGACTATAGGAAAATTACTTAACCTCTCTGTGCCTTCTTTCTTCCAGCCACAGAGAGTCAGTGTGAAATGGTCCCTAAGCTCCATCAATGTTGTCATCTCTTTAAAAGTCTGGAGCAGTGGGTATGCCCTTTCTGTTTCATGTAGTCTTGAGTTTTCTCTGTGTCACTCAGCAGAGAAGCAAGCTGCCCTGTCTCTAGGAGCAACAGGTTATCTGCTCTACAAAGTGGGTCTTCATGTTTTCCTCCATGAGTGCACACAGGTGCTTTTTTTAATTACTTAAGGAAAAGTAATTGAAAAGCCACTCAATACAAATCCCTTAAGCCACGCATGATGGTGACACTGGGGAAAGCTTCGGGCCGGCCAGGAGTCTGAAACATGGGCACCATCTGTGTTCCGGCAACTCCTTGGCCAAATTACATTCCAAGCCTTTCTTTACAGCACTATTTTTCATTAAATGAATTGAATTTGTTGGAAATCGCCTGGCCATAAATATTCCCTCCTGCTCAGGTTATTACTGCTCCCCAAGTCAATGCTTTGGAACAGAGCAGAAGGCAACTACCACTCTTTGTGAAATGAAAAACAGAAATAAAAAGTGCTGGGCTGGAGGGACTGGGGCAGCAGGGAATTCTGCAGAAGATATCTCCCCCTCTCAAGCACTTCAGACTCCTGGCCAGAAATTTTAAATGTTGTTTGATAATGAATGAATGCATTTGGAAGGGGGTTGTCAGAGGCAATCTAATATCATTTAGTCTTTTTAAAATTAAGATTGTCTTTCTCTGAATTTCTGTGGAGAAAGTGACAGTGACACTATGGTGGCTGAAACAGGAGTCACATGTACTTAAAATTGTGAAGGAGATTTCAACCTACAGTTCCAGAAGCTGTTTGCTCTGAGTCTTTTTGCTTGATGGAAAAAGAGACAAGCCACCGTATAGATGATATCTTTAGGGCTTATAAAGCATTTTTTTTCCCCACAACAGCTCTGTGACTTAGGTAGTATAAGTGCTTTTAATCTCCATTTTAAATATGAAGAAGCTGTTTTTGTGACTTGTCCATTTTCACACAGCTAGTTAAGTCTCAAAGCAGGGATTCAAACCCACTTCTTCTGCCACACAGCCTAGTATTTATTCCACTATATGTCACTGCCTTTTTCAGATTTAGAAAAGACTTAGGGAATCATAAAACTTTAGAATTAATTTTATATGACCTTATAGGTCATTCACTTTAACTCTTCTAATATCTAAGTTCCCTCACTGGTGGAGGAAACTAGCTTCTGCTTGCATACTTGTGAGCTAATTACCCTTCCAGTTAGACCAGCTTTCTAGTTGTAACTTGGACATTATAGTGGAAGAAGTACCTTATGTACTCATCATACTAAGAAGGTATGATCATACTTACCTCCTGGATACTCTCCTGAGTTCTTCTCTCAGAGATCATTTTTCTGGGATTCATGACCTTTCCTCCTTTTCATTTCTCATGTTCTCTGGTAGAAAGAGTAAAAAACAACAGATGAACAGCCTGAGTGCTACACTGGTATGGAAAAGATGTCATGTAGTCCAACTCCCACATCTTTTCAGATGAGGAAATTAAGGAGTCAAAATACTTTCTCAAGTCCCAGAGGTATAGAGTAGGGGAGTCAGGACTTAAACATGGGTTTTCTGACCATATCATTACTTCCCTGTTCAGAAACTTTCAGGGGCTCCCTGTTGCCTCTGAAGTAAAATGCAAATTCACCATGGTACATAAAGTCCTCTTCTACTACCTTTCATAGTATTCCCATTCCCCCACACCAGCCAATTTGGGCTACCATTCTCTCCTCTCTCCCCCTGCCCTTGCCGAAGCTCCACATTCTGTTTCTTGCCTTTGTACCTTTGCATAAGCTACCTCTTCCTATTCCCACTTTACCCCGTATCTAGAATTCACTCCCTCCTCACCTCTGCTTCTTAGAATCTTGAACACCCTTCCAACAAGCTCAGCTCAAGTGCTGCTTCCTTAGGTGAAGTCTTTTCCTCTTACATTACCCCCCTCCCCAAATTGTTAGTGCTCTTTCTTTCCCTCCTAAGGTTACTTTGTTATTATATTAATCTATATATATGTTAAATCTCTCTCACCTCCTATTCCCAAACTTCTTGAGGGCAGGGAATGTCTCCTTTTGTCATTTTGGTTTTTACATAGAGTTCCTTGCACATTTTCAGGCACTTAATAAATACTATTTATTTGGCTATAGGGGGTGAATAGAGAAGGGAGATTTTTCTAGGGCTTCCCACATTCTTCTTAGTATGTGACTATGTACTGTACTTATACATAGAATCTGGGCATTGGCAGTTACTTCAGCTCTTATAGCCCATTCTTTACTTGGGCAGGAATTACCTCTACAACATCTCCAGTAAGTGATCCTGCAGCCTCCCCTTAACAATCTCCAGTGAGGAGGAGCCCATCCAGGTACCATGACATGCCCAGCTGCCTTCTTCCTGATGGAGTATTTGTTGCATCACAGGCGTTTGTTCTCATCCTGGACACAGTGAAGTTATCCTTTCCCTTCATGTAGACTGTCATTGTGGCCAAATTAAAAGGAAGACATAATTGGAGTAAGGAGGCTTTGAACCCTGGCTTTATCACTCAGATTTCTGAACCTGGTCAAATTTCTTCAGCTTTCAACCTCAATTTCCCCATCTGTAAAGTAGGCTTTAGTAATACTTATAATACCTAAGTCATAACTTGGTTGTGAGGAAAGCAGTATAAAATTATAAATTGCAATTATAATCTTCTATTCTTCTTTCCAAGTTCTTTGCCACCACCACTGCCACCCCTCTTCCTCCCCCGCCATTGCTTTTTTTCTTGCAAGACAGATATTTTGGTTTTTTTGGTTTTTTGTTTTTTTAAGGCAGTTGGGGTTAAGTGACTTGCCCAGGGTCACACAGCTAGTAAGTGTTAAGTGTTTGGTCTGAGGTCGGATTTGAACTCAGGTCCTCCTGACGTCAGGGCCAGTGCTGTATCCACTGCGCCACCTAGCTGCCCCGCAAAACGGATATTTTGAAGGAAAAGCAATTCCCACACTACATTTAGGTTTGTTTTGGGGAGACAAGTGAGCTTCTTGTTTTGGATTTCAGAACTGTCTCGTAGTTGTTTCTACAACTCTTTGGGAGAGTGAAATTCATTTCTTTGATGCTTTAATGAAGGGGGCAGGAGGAGGTTTTGTCCATATCTCTGAAATCTTGTTGTAGATATTCATTCATGTGCTGCTCGACAAGTTTTTACAACTTGTAACGTTAGAGTTAGTTGCTCGGAGTCTTGAGAGGTTGAGAGACTTCATCCCAGCCACATGGCTAGTCAAGTCTTGTGGCTTGAGTGCTGATACTGTTTCTTAAACTTAATGGCTGTTTTTTTTTAAATGGGTGAGAATAATGCCTGTCAAATTCCTAAACATTAATCGCCAAGCCCCTTTGTTAACAATTAGTAGTTTTCCTGTTGCTTTTCTTAAGACTCCTGCCAACTTCATTCCATGTAGGTAGAACTTCTTGGATGCAGATGTTCATCTCACTAGCACTGGCTGACCCTGACAAGTTTTGGGGTCTAGCTCCTAGTAAAAAGTAGCACCTGCAGTTTCTGTGTCAAGTTCAGTTGTTAAAAGGATGGCACCATTTAGACAGTTTTCTTCTCCCTCCATCATCTTAACCCCTGCTTCCTTTCATGTAATAGTACTCCGGTTCTAATCAGTAGTCATTTTCTAAGAACTTGCTATATACTGTGCTAGGCTTTGGGGGCATAGAGATGCCAAAACAAGACAATCTCTGCCTTCAGAGTACTTCCAGTCTAGGGGGCAGCTAGGTGGCGCAGTGACCTGAGTTCAAATTTGGCCTCAGAAACATAACACTTACTAGCTGTGTGACCCTGGGCAAATCACTTAACCCCATTGCCTAGCAAAAAACAAAAACAAACAAAACCAGAGCACTTCCAGTCTACTAGGGAGACTAAATATACTACAAAATTAATTATGATAGTGATAAAGGAAAAACTCAGACAAGGTGCTTTAGGAAAATCTTAACCTCAGCACTATGAAGTAGTTCAAATATTACCCCGACTTAGAAGTGAGGAAACTGACATTTAAAGAATTAAGTGCCTTGCCTTAGGCTACAGAGCTAACAGGTATGAGACCAGAGACCATAGATTGTCAGAGCAAGAAAAGACCTTACATTCAATCCAATCTCCTCGTTTTATTGCGGAAGAAATAGGCCCAGGAGGAGACATGAAGGGGCTTGCTCAAGGCTTCGCAATGGAGTGGTTGCAGAGTCAGAGATCAGATAATGAAAAAGTGGGAACAGAATCTTTGCAAGGCAAGGGGGTTACAAAAACAAGATGAAATCTAAATGTGTGTGATCTTTCTTTTTCTTTTTCTTTCTGTCTTTTTTTTTTGGGGGGGGGCAGTGCACCTGCCGAAAGGACATGGTGAAAATTTCAATGGATGTTTTTGTGAGAGTGCTGCAGCCAGAGCGCTATGAACTGTGGAAACAAGGAAAAGATATTACTGCTTTGGACCACATGAAACCCACTGCACTAACTAGTCCCGAACTGATGGCTTGGAATGAGACCAAGGCTGTGCTGAAAGCTAAGCTCCTTCGGAGGTAAGATTTGTCATGAACAGGATTGTTCAGAGGATCAGTTTCAGTCACTATTGCACTCCTGGCATTCTGAAATCAAGATAGGGTGTAATGGCTGTTATCAATGGAAAAAGAGAGAGATTCCTAGTTCCCATTCGCAGACAGCCAGCAGAGGTATGGACATTTTCAAACTGTCTCAAACCCTTTCCTTCTCTACTTTCAATTTTGTCTCTATATCGCTGGATGAAGGTATCTCTGGTGAATGTATTTTAAAAGAATACTGCTATAATCCTGTAATTGATGTGCCCCAAGTCAGGAAGGCAGAGCATTATAGATGCTGCCTCTTTCTCTAACATAAGAAAAACCTATGTTGGTAAGCACTCTGGCCTATTTTAAATAGTGCCATCAGAGGAAGAGTATAGTCCTTTTTTGTGCATCAGAATTTTTCTTCCTTTCCTTTCACCACCTCTGTTCAGCTAGAAATCTGCCTGCTATCCCCTAAGTTTATGCTCTTCTGGATTTTCTTTTTTCTCTGACATCACAAGTTTGTATCACCTACTTCTAAAAGAAAAGTACCTATTACAGAGACAGTTTAATCTCTAGGGCGAGAGTGCCTTACTTCTATTTCACAGAGAAGATGTTCAAAACCTACTTGGCTTGGGGGAGATGGCAGGCTCCTCCTCCAGTAAGTTAGCTGGACTTTAGCAATATTTTAAAGGATGTATCTAGTAGGAATCTTGCCTTACTTTTTTCTGAACACTTAAACAAAAATTGATGATGCCTCAGTGTGATTTCTAGAATTACTGAAAGACCTTGTTTTGAAAGAACTTTTTCAGAATTCCAAGTGGGTACAATTTAGAAGTTTCTCAGATTTACCTTTAAAAACTCCGTGAGCACTCCAAGATATCCCTGAAGTGTTTGTTGACTTGAATAGAAAAGTGCTTCAGGAGCTGTTTGGAGGATTGCAGGAAGGAGTCTTCAGGAAAATAAAGATTTAAACATCAATGTTTTGTCTAGATTTGGTAATTAAAGGATACTTCAGAATTGTATAGCAAGCACTTTCCAAATATCCTTGCTGTTCTTCATAAACATACATTTTTAGCTCTGTGATTCGTTCCAGAATGCCTGTGTTTGTCCCCTTTAGTGTTGCCTGGGTCTGTCAGGGGTACCTTTTTGCCATCAGATACAACAATAAAATTCTCATATAGGGCCCAGCAAATACTACCAAATGCCTTTTTTGAATCTGAACTCAGTGCTCAATTGACCCTTGATTAGGCTTTGTGTTGAGGAGTGGTGGGGGTGTTTAATGAAGGAACGTATCTCTTCATCAAACTGCTTAGATGGTTTGAAACTGGTCTCTCCTCCTGGCCTTCAAAGGGAATTTGGTGAACAATAGAAATGCTTTTCACACTTATCCATAGTTACGTAGGGGACTGAGTTCTGAGAGTTTGGAGGCAAAAAGTTCTTATTGAACTAACTGGGTGCAAAGAGTTGCTCACTTCAGTATTCGGAATACACTTCTTTTTTCCAACTGTTATTTTTTTTAAAGGGCTTTATTTAACTTGCATAGTTCCACTTACACCTTAGGCCTAGCACTGTAACCCTATTTCATAAACTGCCTGCTGCCACTTTTATGCATCATTTATTCAAGTTCTCTGAAAACAGAGAATACTAGGTTAGTGCTACCTGATCACATGTGCTGCCATCACCAGGAATACAATTAGCCTTTCTCTTTCATTGTCTGTATTACTGATTTCCTGTTCTCTCTCTATGTTATAAGAAAATAAAGTTCTGGTTGAGGCTTTCTTTGTTTTTCCCCCAATTTTCTCTTTTGTCACTTATGTCTTAAAGGTGAAATGTACATACAGACATAGCCCTAGCTAGGGAAGATTTTGAGATGGTATTTGCATAATAGTTGAATTGAATGTGGTCCAAACTAATTGGTCAACAGAGCAGGAGTCATGTTTCCAAAACAGTGATCATCATAGAAGGTTTTATAAATGGCCTGCCAATAGGACAATCAAAATCAGGCTGGAATGAGAACTAGTTCTCTGTTAGTCATGCTTACTACAGGAAGGAAGGAAAAAACAACAACAACTTTTTCAAGGGGATAACAGAATTACCAGTGATTTGGATGTTCCATATGCATCTAGAGATGTCTTCTATGCACATATGTCTTTTCCTTCCCCTCCCCTACCTCCTCACTCATTTGTGCCTCCTCCTTTTAACATACATGAGGTTACGTGTGCTTTAAGGGAAAAGAAAGTACCAAGTAAGCTAATGCTTTCATTTTGGCATTTATTGCTTCTCCCTCTCCTCCCAGAAGCCCTCCCCTTCTGTTGTCCTCTGATGTATTCATACTCTGAGAGTGGGACTGAATACCAAATTTTAAATACTAAGGCTTTCATTTTCTTTAAAAAGCCTTGGTATGTAAAGTAACACAGATTTTTAAAAAGTAATTGAGATCTCTTTTTCTTTGGAAACCTTGATTAATGACTAATTTTTTAAAGCTGATGACCAGAACTGATTCAGCTCATTCCTACAACTGAATCATGGTTTACTTGGGTAAGGAAGAAATATAGCTTCATTCTGCAGCACTCTCCTCTCTCTGCCCCTCCTACCCTACAGTGTGTCTTCTCATCTGCAGTTTATAGGTATGCAGATATCCTTTTCCTACCTGCCTTTGGCTTACTCAGTCATAGAGATAGATACACAAAGCTTTAAAGAAAGGCCGGAGAACATTTAGCAAATATATTACTGGTTAAAGTGGAATTGAAGCAGTCTGTTCCCCTTTATCCTCCCCCCCCACTTTCCTTCTCTCTCTCTCTCTCTCTCTCTCTCTCTCTCTCTCTCTCTCTCTCCTCTCTCTCTCTCTCTCTCTCTCTCTCCCCCCCCCTCTCTCTCTCTCTCCCTCTCTCCCTCTCTCCCTCTCTCCCTCTCCCTCTCCCCCTCCCCCACTCTCCCCACTCCTTCCTGCCCCTTTCCTTTCTCTTGCTCCCCTCCCCATTAACATTTTTTCCCTTTTAAAAATAAAATACTTGCAGGTACTCACCCCGTAAGAGGAACAGCAGAGTTACTTCTCCATAAATATCTTTTGAGGCTTTTTCCTCCTTTCTTTCATTCTTTTCCTGCTCCCAGATATGCTATTCTGAAGAGGACCCTATTACATTGGGATGTATGGTTGCTGTGAATAGGCTATTTAGTCATATTCCCCATATGTTGAATCTGATGCCATCCTGTAGTAGCTACATTTGCCAGATGTGTATTACCTTGGGAGTGAAACCATTTTGTGGATTCCCTTGCTACTGGAATTTGGCCATGTTACTCTGCTTCTTATTTCATAGGCTGAATTTCTGAAGCTTTTTTTCTTCTTTGAGAATCACAAAATCAAAATCTCTGAACAGGAAGAAACCTTAAGAAGCTAATTTGGTTTAACCAATTCCTGAGCAAGAATCCCCTCAATAGCAAGTGGTCATCCAGACTTCCAGAAAGGGAGAGCCCACTAAATTGCAAGGCAACCAACCCATTACGCAATTTACTATGTAGTATTCATTCATTCAGTATACATTTATTCCAAGTGCTGGGGATACTACAAATAAGAAAAAGAAAGCTAGTCCTTGCCTTCAAGGAGCTTGCAGTCTAATGGAGAACAACACACAAAAAGAAGCTGAAGTGGGGCAGCTAGGGGGTACTGAGCATGAGAGCATGATGTTTGTGTTGTGGAAGCCAAGGGGAGCAACTGATGGAAAATGAAGTGACCTGGTAAGCTCTGACCCTTCTTTAAAGGAAGGCTTTGGGAGCACTCAAATCAGAAGGAAGATACAACTGAGGGTGCTGAGAAGGTGCTCAAGAGAATGCTGCTGGGTTTTTTTGTTAGGCTGCTTCCTGCGTTCTTCACCAAGTAGTCTTTTAAATTACGGTCAGTTAAGGTTTAGCGAGTTAGTAGGTTTTGCTCATCGTTGAAGGTCTGCAAACAGGCTGGATGACCACTTTCTGGGGATACTTTAGAAGGGATTCTTGGGTCAGGTATAGGTTGAATTAGGTGGCCTTTTAAGTCCCTTTCAATTTTTAGATGCTGTAATCCTCTGTAATGAAATATATTAGCTCATAGAGCCGTGTAGTCACATGATGAGATTCACGTAGTCTACTCCCTCATTTTACATGTGGCCAAGAACCAGAAAGTGATTTGCCCAAGTTCACATGAGAACTAAGTAGCAAAGCTGGGATTTGCACCCAGGTCCTCTGTCTTCAAATTGAGGCCTCTTCCTACTATGTCTACCAGGCCTTCTACAGGATAGGTTCGCATATATAGCAGAAGGAACAGGCAGTAAAGAGCCTGGAAGTGTTATCTAGACAGCTTTGGTCCCATAGGAGCATAGACTAAATGTTGGAAGGGACCTTAGAGGTCATTGAGGTCAATCCTCTCATTTTATAGATGAGGAAACTGAGGCCCAGAGAACTTAATTACTTATAGGGTCATTCTGCTAGTAAATGTGTGATGGAGGATACAAACCCAGGTTCTCCTGGGTCCAACATGCTACCTACACCACACTGCCCCAATCTTGTTCCCCTAGTTTAAAAGCAAACAAATAAAAGTCCTCCACAGGCTATCTAATGAGCTTTTTTCTTGCTTCTTTTTAAGGAGAGTATTGAAAAACCTATGTACTGATCATTACAGCAGGTGTGCTTTGCTTTGCTGGCTCCCCAGATACCTGTGTGTATATATGTGTGTCTGTTTCCTCTTTAACAAAATTAACTGGGCATCTTACAGAATATTTGGCTTGTTACTAGTGCTTCACATTTCCCAAGATCTCATATGTGAAGCACAAAGTGGAACTACTAAGTACCAAAATTAAAATGTTTTTCTTTTTGAGGAGAGACTCTGTTTTTAGGAACTTCAGCAGCAAGAAAAGCTGATCCATACGGGTTCAGCTGAATGTTCCTGCTAATGAATATCTTGCAGGTGTGAAGTTAATATCTATACTTAGAAGGTGACCATATGGTTGGAGTCTAGCAATTATAAGTGACTATACATGTAGATTCATTTTTCCTCTATTAATCATTATTTTGGTTTAGTATCCTCCTCAGTTCTTCATTCAGTTTGTTGCCTCATTAAGGGCTTTGCTACTTTCTTTAACTCTTCTCCAGTTCTAATTAGCAGCCTGATTTCTGGACAGGCTCTGGGAATGGGGGTAGCTGGATCTCTGTTCCATCTGAAGCTTAGGTGGTAGGTAGTTGTTGGAAGGATTCACTCTGCTTTATCTTTCAGTAGCAGATGTAACAGTGCAGAATGGAGAAAGCATATGGAAGCTGCCACTGTCTCCAAGTTTTCTTTTTACTAAAATTGGCGACATTTACAGCTCTTTAGAACAGACTTTACTCCTAACTAATGAAGCATTTTTAATTTTACTTAACCCTTCTCTGCCCTCCTCAAAAAAAAAAAAAGAATAGAGGTGACAGAAAGATAGCAGCAGGAGTAGAAAGGGTATGTATCTGCCTTATTATCACCCCAGTGAGTGTCCACTGATTCATCCACATGTTACCTTCAAGAGAAGAGTCTTGAGGATTAAGGAGATGTATAAATATTCTACGTTTATTTCTTTTTAATTTGTTTGGCCAAGTTCCACCTCAAATGGTAATATACTACTCTTTAATTATTAGGCCTTGTGGTCAAATTTGCAACAAAAAGGTCTGAGGATTTTCTCTGTTCTCCTTATCTTCCCATTTGTAGTTTTAGCAAAAGCCTACATTTCATAATATCTCTAGTTTCTCCACTGACCATTTGTTGGGGACATTATAAAAAGAGATTTCTTCTTATACTTTTGGACAGAATGACCTATAGAGTCCTTTCTAGCTCCTAAGATTTGGGGTGTTCTGTGATTCTGTACCTCTGGGATTCTTTATCTTCTCTAGCCTGTCTGGAAATGTCTGTTTGGGGATTTGTAAAGCTATTTCTAGTGGTTCTTTTTCATCTGAAGGCAGTCTTCCCCACAGAGGAAGTACCCTCTAGGCTTTCCTCTTCCCTTGAGTTGAAATTGGATAAAGCTGTCAGCTTCTTCTCTGCCTACTCTTGGTTTCTTCTTTTTAGTCGACCCTCTTAAAATAAGCTGTTCTCTTTAGTCCTTTTGTTGCTTTCTCCAAGCTACTCTTTGTCACGTGGAGTGAATTTGTAAGCTCGCCCATTTCTCTTTCCTTCAAATGTATTAAAATGGTCTGCACAGCCATAATAACATTTTCCCATGGACATTTTACTCTGAAATAACATGAAGCACTCTTTGTTTAGGAATCTTCTTCTGGTTCTCCCTTGCCCTACCTTGCTAAGTTCCTGGGAATTGGGAAGGAAAGAAGCTAGTCTTTCCTAAAGTACACTTAAGGTAGAAAGGGGGAGCTCAGAGCGAAGTAGTAAAAATGGGTACTTGTATGTAATATATTCACAATATTCATGTATGGGGGGAAAGTAAGGGAGGGGAATTAAAAAGCTAGACAGAGAAGTGTAATTAGATAATGTCTTAAAGAGATGAAGAAAAATCTTAGAGGAAAAAAACCCTGAAAATTTACATTCTAGACAAATTAGTCTGAAGGAAAACAGACACTGGAAAAAGACTGAGGAGGAGAGAAAACCAAATATAGAAAGGAAGAGAGAGCAGAACAGAAAGCCTGGCCTATCGTAAGTCAATTCTTTTTACTCTCTTCCAGGAAGTTTGTTTGACATTTTCATCCAGAATTCGAATTCAATTCAAAGCATCCCTTGTCTCCTTTATACCTAAATAAAAGTACCACTCCTTTGACTTATAGTGTCAAAGAACCTTTTTCAGAAGTCCATTGGGTGTCAGGCTTGGCTTCCCACTTGCAGATGTCATCAGCGTCCTCTGCTTGGCATCAGCACTGCACCCACGTTTGACCATTCCCTTGCCCTTCCCTCTCTTTCAGCCCATTCTTCCTTTATCACCTGAACCCTTTTCCCTACCTCTCCTCCCCAGACAAAGTGTTCTCCCTATTCCTCCTGATGGAGCAGATATGATGGCCCAAGTGATAGAGGTTCTCTCAAAAAAGGGAGGGAGAAGGAGGGGGGTTTTGTTGATCTTATGTTCTTTCACCAAGAATGTCAGATTACTTTCACAAATCTATCCTCCTAGGTCCCACAGAAAAAGAAGCCAGCCCAGGCGGCACAAGACAGAAGACCAGAAGTCTTTGGGAGAGGTTATGGCTGCAGAAACCCTTTTGGAGGAGGGCAAAGTTAAGGAAGAACCCAAACATGGACCTGACCTAGAGGAAGAAGAGCAGCACAAAGCCCCCGAAGGTGCTGAAGGTGAGTCACAAGCCACTTTTCAGTGGCTCTTCTCTCCAGCCCAGAATTGCTCATTATCAAGGGCTTGGCTGCCACATAATGCTGGATGGTTTATTTGTATTTTGGAAGGAGGGTGGCAGAAGGAGGTGATCTGTAATAACTCATTAAGCCTTCCATCAAAGCAGGCAAGGCATTTAACTGCAGAGATGCAATCACACATCCTTGAAGTATTGAAATAAGCATATTGTTTATTCCACCAAAAGATCAATGAAGTTAGTCAGTACTTATATCCACAGCAGCAGTAGATTTTTTTCCCCTCTTTCTTTAAGAATTCAGTTCAAATAGCTTTTTTGGCAGGGTTGGAAGTTTTTGCCAGAGCTATTACAGTTTTGTAAAAATATATATTACAGGAGTTATGTTTTTTAAAAAACATTTTACAAAGAAATGAATCAGTATATTTTATCTGTCCCATTTTAACCAGGGTGGCAGCTGTTCATAGCTGACAGAAAAATGGAGTGTGTCTGCTTTCAGTAGACTAACTTCTGTTAATTTCTGTGCTGCAGGGCACACTCTCTCTCCCCTCTTTCCTGCCGGTAAATAAATAAATGCCTGAGTAGGTAGTGAAAGTCAAACTAGAGTTCTCTTCTAGCCCTTGAACAAGGTAAAGAGATGTAACTAGACAGTTTACATGCTGGTTCCTTGTTTTACAGTTGGCATTCAGGAAGCCCATGACCAGGGCTATCTGGAGAAACAATTTTACATGTGTTCTAAAGTCCCCGCTGTGTCTTAGAGCACATTGAGTCCTTTGGAAGATTGTCTTCTTAATGCAAGGAAAATGTGAGGAGAGCAATGGGATTCTTTCTGTTTCCATTATTTGCAAGTGAATATACATTTAGTGCATTATGATAAATACCCTGGTTTAGCCATAAATTTAGGAGTCACAATAACAAAGGGCCCCAAATGCCTGTGTTTCTTCTGTACAAGGGGTATGGAGTAAAATAGCTCATATTTGAAAATGTGACCTTTCGACTCTTAAGCAAGGACAATTCAGTTTTGTCGTTGCTGAGAATATTATATCATTTAAAAAACTTACTAATAAGGGGAAGCTGGGTGGCACAGTGGATACAGCACCGGCCCTGGATTCAGGAGGTCCTGAGTTCAAATCCGGCCTGACACTTAACACTCACTAGCTGTGTGACCCTGGGCAAGTCATTTAACCCAGTTGTCTACCCCAAAAAAACTTACATAGACTTTGTATTTCCAGAACCATAGAATCACAGAATTTAAAGACTAGTTTGTTGTTTAGTTGTTTTTCTGTTATGTCTGATTCTTTGTGACCCCATTTGGGGTTTTCTTGACATTTCCTTCTCCAGTTCATTTTACAGATGAGGAAACTGAGGCAAACAAGGTTAAGTGACTTGTCCATGTCCAGGGTCACACAGGTGTAATAAGTGGATTTGAACCCAGGTCTTCTGACTCCAGACTTGACATTCTATCTACTGTACTAGCTAGCTACCCTTAAAAACTAGCAGTGACCTCAGAATATAGATTTTTGAAATGAGCCTTATGACATTAGAGCATTAAAATATCTGAGCTGAAGGGGACCTTAGAACATAGGATTTTTTATTAGATGATCACAGATATCTTGTTCAGTTCTTTTTCTTTTTAAAATTTTTATTAATATCTTTTTTTATCTTAATTTTCTCCTTTATCTTCCTTCCTCTCAGAGTCAGCCCATGTAATACAGAATTTAAAAAAAATGAAAGAAAGAAAAGGAGAGAAAAAAATAAGCAAAACTGATCAATACATCAAAGTCTGACTATATCCAATGTTCTGCATCCATGGGCCAAGGAGCATGTGCTCTACTAGCTAGCTCTCTTCTTTGGGAAGAACCTTATTCAGTATCCACTTTCAGTTGTTTTGTGGTTGTTCTTCCCAGTGCCATAAACATCGTCCCTGTTGTTTTCTTGACTCTGCTCACTAAGTTCCACACCAGTCCCCTCCCTACAAGTCTTTCTGCACTTTCTGTATTCCTTATATTCATCGTTTTTTACAGTACAATAACATTCTGTTACATTCATGCACCATAATTTCCGGAGACGATGTCATAACCAGAAGGCATCTTATAATTAATCTGTAAGCGTGTATTAGGGGCCTGTTCTGCCCAGGGCACTGTGCTGGGTGCTAGGGATAGAGATGCCAAAAAAGGAAACATTCCCTACTGTTAAGGAGCTTCCGCTCTGTTGGGGGAAATAGCGTTATGCGTATGTAGTACTTTAAGGTATCTCTCCCATTTTATAGTTGAGTGTTTTGCCCAGGATCACACAATTAAGTGTCGGGGCTGGATTGAAATTCGGGTCATCTGACTCCAGGACAAACACTCTGCACAGTGGCGCCACCTAGCTTTAAGTTATGTACTTATGATTATTTCCATTTTACAGCCAAGGAAACAGGCTCAAGATGGTTAAATGACTATGTATTGTTACACCAGCTAATAAGTAGGGCACTTTGTATTTTGGTGTCTTCTGGGTATAGTACTTTTTCACTATGCCCTATAGCAAAATGTCCAAGCTGAAAGGAACTTTGGGATAATGAATGTTAAAGGTAGAAGGAATTGTAGAAACTACCTAGTCCAATCCCCCTGTTTCATAAATAGGGAAACTGAAGCCCAGAAATAAAGGGTATTTACTGGAAGAATCTATGTTAGAATAAAGTCATCGGAGCTTTTGTGAGTTTTCCATCTTGGTAGGTGTCTTCTTGAGCAAGAAAGAGAAAGAAATCTGCTAGCCAGCCCAGTGTTCTGTGTTTCTTCATGGCCATCAGATAGAGATTGCCTCTGCCTCTTTACATATTAACAGAACTGTAGGCCAGGCCCGTAGATGTTCATATATCATAGAGAGCCTAAGTTGCCCTCTTCAGAGCCCTGAAAACTCTTTCCTTATAATAACAGTGGTAAGTTAAGAATACCTGATTGTCAGTGTTTGGGACAGTATGGCATTTAAAATCTCCATTGCCCCTTTCTTCCTCTCCCTCCTCGAATGAGCAGAGGAAGGGAATTCTTTTGTTAGCTACCGTCTTTGAGAACAAAGGACAAATGGAAACCTCTGTGAGTAGAAAAGGAGCTGCCCACTGGGGACCAAACAGGAACTGGCCAGTGGGGTAACACAGCTAGCTTTCTTTCCTTTCTTCCTTCCTCTCTCCCTCCCTTCTTCCCTTCCTTTTTCCCTTCCCTTCCCCTACCTGAGGTACTCTGCCCAAAGGGAATGTAAATTTTAATCTCTGAAACTTTTTTTTCCTTTTCTCTTAAAGGGCAGCCTCAGCCAATAATAGATCCCGAGGCCAAGCCCTGCTTGGTCATTGTTTGGGCCCTGATTGGCTCAGAATAAATATGAATAGCAATTGTTTCTGTTTTAGCCAGAAACCCTGAAGGTCTTCCATTCCCAGATCTAATTTTTTTTTAAGAGGCCATTCTTTGCTTCAGAATTTCTTATTAAGCCTCAATCACTGGATAGGCTTTGCCTCAGTCAAACTGAGACCTGTTAAAGACCTTAGCTTGAAAAGGCCAAGGCCTGCGTCCTGGGCCATCTCCAGTCATCTGATCTATATGTAGCCATTGGACCCAGATGGCTCTGGAGGACAAAGCAAGGCAGGAAGCTTTACAGAGCCTTCCCTCACTTCAATCCATGTCACTTACATGTCATGACATCACCTTCCTGATGTCCTTCAAGAGTGAAGGACAAATAGCAGCCACCATCTAAAACCACACATCTCTGGAACCACACATGTCTCTGGTACTACCTGCGATTTTCTAAACCTCTTCTACTCTTTCTTTCTTCTTTTTTTTTTTTCTTTTTTCGGTAGGGGTAGGGATGGGTAGGCAGTGGGATTAAGTGACTTGCCCAGGGTCACACAGCTAGTAAGTGTTATGTATCTGAGTCCAGATTTGAACTCAAGTACTCCAGACTCCAGGGCCGGTGCTGTATCCACTGTGCCACCTAGCTGCTCCTCTTCTACTCTTGAAGACTTTGGCCAAGACCAGGCAGGCGGCCCTGAGGGAGAAATGAGATCATCCTTTGCTATCTAGAGGATGGTGAGGGAGCTGGTGCTAGACTACAGATGGTTCCTAGATGGTTCCCAATTTAAGAAGACGTTGTATTGCCAAGTTTTCTTTATAAGTCAGTTATTTCGAATTCAATGCATTTAGGGTATAGAGTTCTCTGATGTGGCTGTCTCTCCTCTGCCTTGAGTGCCCCCTTAGACTGTAAGCCTCTTGGGGGAAAGGCAGATGTGTCTACACATCCTCTGGAGTCTTCTGTTAATAGAAATCTAGAGCTGGAAGGTACCTGAGAGATACCCAATATCACGTTCAGTTGTGTGCTTCCTAAGTGCTGTAGGCATTGTTTAAAAGGGCATATGTACTGAGTCAGAGAGTGAAGATGAAGAGAAAGGACCAAGCGTTTATATAGCTCCTACTATGGACCAAGCACTGTGCTAGGGGCTTTACGAACATGATTTTATTTGATTGTCACAGCACCTCTGTGAGTCACATGCTGTTATTATCCCCATTTTACATTTGAGGAAAGTGAGGAAGGCAGAGTTTAAATGACTTGCTGGGGTCACACAGGTAAAAGTGTTTGAGGGCAGATTTGAACTTCCTGACACTAGGCCTAGCCCTCTAGGTACTTCTTCACCTCCTTGCCCCTTACTAGTTTCATGGAAAGAAAATTTTGCTTAAATTCAAGAGATTAAGGGCCAAACTCTGGTGTTGGCTCTTATTGGACATGACTCTGTATAAGTCCCTTCTCCATTTTCTGCCTCATCTTCCTTATTTGTAAAATCAGGGTGCTACTTAGATATACAGGAAGTATTGCCAGGAAAGCAGTCTATAAAGATTGTAGAAATACAAATGATGCTAAAGAAGATATGGCAAAAATGTTTTTATTAGCAAAGTAAATAGTTTTTAATCAACATTTGTGAAATCTCCATAGAGAATTACAGATACAGTGTCCATAAGGTTGTCC